AGTAATAGCCTCTAGTCTAGCAGGAATAGCATAGAATTGAGCCTGGCCACCACATGATCAGCCTCCCCCTCAAGGGCGATCTCTGGCTACCTAAGACCCACCCCGAGTTGGCTGAGTGGGTGGTGAAGTAACTGGTGCAGAAGTCATAACCTGACGCCTCTACTGAGCTGGACCTCCCAAAAGGCGGGGACACTGCCTCTTCACATGGCCCAACTCGCCACACTCAAAATTACCCCTCTCGAAAAATGGCGGCAACTACTGAAGTGGGCCTCGAGAACCAGATTAACTACTAGAGGAACCTGGTGTAGATGAACCCTGAATTAAAGGTGCACGAGATGAACTCTGAGATGGGAGTGCACTGAGGGATGTGACCCGGTCGAGCAATGTATGAACAATGGCTAGATGATGCACCACGATGAACTGGATGAGCCATTTGAGCGGTCTTATAAGAACGACCCCTGTTATGGTAGGACTGACCCCCAAAAGAGACACCGCTGAAACCACCCAAACCATAAGGCCTCTTGGCCTCCCTCTCCTCACGCTCCTGACTGTGGACCAACGCTAGTCGCCGAGCAATATCAACCACCTCATCAAACCTAACACCTACTACATTCTCAAGAGTCATAAGAAAACACAACTGATAGTTGAGGCCATCAATGAACCTCCTAATCCTTTCCCTCTAAGTGGGGACCAACCAAACTACGTGACGAACCAACTCTGAAAACATCATCTCATACTAGGTCACATACATGCCCTCTTGACATAAATGCTCGAATTGAATGCGTAGCTCCTCCCCGCGGGTCTATGGAGACTCCACTAGTCTCCAAAATACCTACCGTGTGAAGAATCTGCTGGCACCTATCCAAGAATTTTGGAGCATCCTCTAACTCATCCCCACTGAATGATAGAGGCCGGAGCCTCCCAAATCTCTCTAGTCTCTTTTGCTCCTCATCAATCATAATGGGACCCACCTGGGCCTGAGCAACTGCAATCGACAGGGCTGGTAATACCCCCGGTGTCTAAAGTCCCTGCACCACCTGCTCTAGAGTGCGGGCGGTGGGAGTCTGAGTACCTTCCGTAGCCTGAGAAGTGGCTAGTACGACCTGAACATAAACCGCTTGAGCAAGGCTAGTGCAAACAGTCAATATCTCGACCAAAGCCTCCTGAAAGTCTGGAATCACAATAGGCACAGCTGGTGCCTAAGCTGGTCCCACTGGCTCAACCACAGCTAGAACCTGCTTTGGTGCCGGATCAACTAGTAGGTCTATAAGTGCTGCTCTAGCTGTTGTACGAGCCACACCCCCAGCCTCTATTATAGCCCTGACCTCTTGTGGCCCTAGTTGGTGATATTGGTTGCCGTCTACCTGATCCGTAGCATGTGTCGTCACTATCTGTGAGAGAATAGAAATAAGCTTAGTTCCCGAAAACAACAAATTCACACAACAAGAATACAAGAATGTGAAGTTTTCCTAAGGGTTCGACATCCTCTCGAAGATAAGTACAGACGTCTCTGTACGATATGCAAGACTCTACTAAACCTACTCATGACTGGTGTGACCTATGTAACCTAGGTTCTGATACCAACTGGTCACGACCCAAAACTCAACATGCTGTGATGTTGCCTATTATGATACTAGGCAAGCAGAAAACTCATACATACCAACACTTTCAAATTCAAAATATACGAAAACAGGTTTAAATAAGTGAAAATCTCATAAAACTAGATGAAAACGTCACAACTCAATACAGAATTTTCCAAATCCTAGGTGTCACTGAGTACATAAGGATCTATATGATGACATAGTCTGATACACTATCTAAGAAAGTAGAACTGAATTAGTAAAACTGAGGGGTAGGGGAAGGAGAGTCAAGGTCTGCAGATTCCAAGGCAGCTACCTCAAAAATCTCCAAACAGTTGAAACTCCAAGATCAACCGCCACCATAACCTAAATCACGTAGATCTACATGCGAAGTGTAGGGTGTAGCGTGAGTACAATCAACTCAATAAGTAATAAGTCGACGAGCTCCCATAGTAAAGTCCACATATAGAATTAACAGTATGGAAATTTACAAAAATTATGGCAAAGGTATCTCAAAGAATTCAAAATCTGCAAGTAACAATACAAGAATTTAGACATGCTTCCATGTTTAACAGTCAAGCTTAATACAGGTAAAATATGTGAAGTTGGAATGATGTGAGGAATATGATCTCTATATCTACATGCCAATATGTATGTCATATGTGATGCAACAATGAAAACCTTGCATACTCACTGTTGACGGCCAATTTTGACCCTTTTAAATTAATTTATTTATACTTAATAATTTGAAATAAATAATTTAAAAGTATTTTCCAGTAATGAATATCTATTTTTTCAAATTAATCAAGCATTAATTTCAAAGTTAATTACGTAATATTGGCATTATGTAGTTATAAATATATTTACTATTTTATGACTATTAAAATAATTTCTATACATAGGTTCTATAATTAATTCAATAAACCATTTCTTAAACTTTTAGTTAATTAGTCTACCATTTCAATAATTCAAATTAATGTCATAATTTAGTATATTTACAAACAATTAATTAATTACAATAACTAGTAGTATATTTGATACCCTAACTGCTCTCTCTCTCTCTCTCTCCTCTCTAGTTACGTACAGTACGCCCCAATTATCTTCTTGATTTCGTCTAGGCCAGAGTTGTTGCCGACGACCACTAGGTAACCGCTCCACTCCCTTCTCTTTTCTCCTCTCTTCCTGCCTCACCTATTTTCTCTTCCTCGTCTCTTTCTTTACCCTCTTTAAGTTTTTAAACCCTAATTAAGGGTAGTCCGGCACTGCCAACGACTATTTTTCGGAGTCCTTCTCTCCATTCTTTTCTCCTCCCTCCTGTCTCTTTCTTCTTCCCCGTTTGCAGTCTCTTCGACCACAAGTAACTACTTATTAGTTCACCGTTGGTGACCTCAGAACCGGCGACATCTCCAAGCAGAGTTCCGACGACCACTACCTAGTATTTTCAGGCGGAATCAACCACCAAACTTCCGTCTAGCTCTCTAATTTCTAGGTTCTATCTCTCCATTTTTAGTTGCAGTTTTTAGTCGGTTTGTTCTCTGTTGCGCTAGCATGTGCTTGAGTTTTGTTCTTGTTTTTTACTTGTTCTGGACACTGTTAACTCGTTAAGCTTTCATATTTCTTAACATATTTTCTTTATTGGTAGTAGATTCTTTTTACAAAAGTTTTTAAAAAAGAAAAGAAAGAAAAAGAAGAAAGGAATAGAGAGGTATTGAACTGAAGAGTGTGAACGTCATCTTGTTTTACTTCATTTAACTTTTTCCATTCTTAAAACTAGCAGATCTTATTGGATAATACTGTTCTCTCATAGTTTGCTAGAGAAAAAAGAAAATAAATCAAACAAATGAAGGATAAAGAAAAGGGAATTTGCGCCTAATACAGATCTTACTAAGTACACCCAATCATAGAGGATGAATAGGAGCTAATAAAATAAGTAAAGCAAAACAAAGCAAAAATTAGAAACTTCTTATTCAATATAATGCAGAGTTCTCTATTACATATTTTTTTTTCTGTATTGGTAGTGCCGGGTATTAAATTCAACCTTGCTTGTTACATCTGTATGTTTAGGTAGATTAATTGCACTAGCACATGCTTGAGTTTTTGTTCTTGTTTTCTGGTACTTGTTCTTGACACCGTTAACTCGTTAAGTTTTCATATTTCTTAGCATATTTTCTTTATTGGTAGTGCCTTGTATTCAATTCAACCTTGTTTGTTACATCTGTCTCTTCAAGTAGATTAATTGTGCTAATACTCACTTGAGTTTTTGTACTTGTTCTTGGCACTTTTAACTTGTTAAATTCTCTTCTTAGCATAATTTACTCTATTCTAACTCTTTGTTGGTTGAGTGATAGTGATTAAATAGTACCCTTAGTCTATATTGGCTATGGTTTACGATATGAGAGTAAAGTCATGTCCTCGGGTGGGGTGGGAGTGGGGGGAAAGGGTGGGAAGGGGGACAAGGAAGCTTTTATGCTGAGAGTTGGGTCCTGAAACATAGGGACGTTGACAGGTAAGACTATAGAGTTGGGTAAGATTCTTCAAAAAAGGAGGATCAATAAAGCGTGTGTCCAGGAGACCAAGTGGAAGGGTACTAAGGCACGCGATGTTAACGGGTATAAACTGTGGTATTCTGGAGGTTTTGGGGGCACGAATGGGGTTGGTATATTAGTTGACATGGATCTTAGGGAGCTAGTGGTCGAGGTTAGGAGGGTAAGGATAGGGAGATGGCGGTTAAGCTAGTGGTTGGGGGGCTTACTTTGAGTGTGATTAGTGCTTGTGCTCCTCAAGAAGGCTTGAGCGAGGCAGTCAAGAGGCAATTTGGGGAGGATTTGGACGAGGTGGTGCATGGTATTCTGTGCACCGAGAAGATTTTATTGAAGGGTATTTTGATGGCCATATCGAGGCTAATGCTGGGGGTTACGATGATGTGCATGGAGGGTTCAGATTTGGAGATGGCAGGTACTTCGCTATTGGATTTCGCTAGAGCTTTTGATCTGGTGGTAGTTAACTCGAGTCCCTCAAAGAGGGAGGAGCACCTGGTCACTTTTCGGAGTATAGTGGCCAGGACCTAGATAGACTATCTTCTCTACAAGAAATGCGATAGAGGTCTTTGCATTGATTGCAAGGTCATACCGAGTGATGTCTCACGACCCAACATAGGCTCCTAGTTATGGATCTGGGGATCAAGAGAAATAGAAAGAAGAGAGCAGTGTGCAGTCAACCTAGAGTCAAATGGGGAAACTTGACTAAGGACAAAGCCTAAGAGTTAGGGGAGAGGTTGCTGGCGATGGGGGCCTGGAAGAGTAGTGGGGACACGACTGCGATGTGGGCCATGACAGCGAACTACATTAGGGAAGTTGCGAGAGAGGTTTTAGGGGCTATAAAGGGATACCTGGGAGACATATAGGGGATTGGTGGTGGAATATGGAGGTCCAAGGTAAAGTTGAAGTAAAGAAAACAGATTATTTGAAACTAATGGAGAGCACAAACGAGGAGGAAAAGAGGTCGAATTCGGAACGTTATAAGAAGGCAAAGAAAGAGGCAAAGTTAACGGTTACGACGACTAAGACTACTGCCTTTGGACGTATGTATGCAGAGCTTGGGAGAAAAGGCTGGGACAAGAAGTTATATAGGTTAGCCAAAGTTAGAGAGAGGAAGACTCATGACTTGGACCAAGTAAAGTGCATCAAAGACGAAGATGTCATGGTATTGATGGAAGATGGCCATATTGGACGAAGATGGTAGACATACTTCCATAGACTGTTGAACAAGAAAGGGGACAGAAGCATTGTTCTGGGTGAGTTGGAGAAAACCAAGAGTTTGTGTGATTTTGGCTATTGTAGGCATATAAAGGTCGAAGAGGTTATTGGAGCGATGTGTAAGATGAGTAGGGGAATAGCGACTAGGCTAGATGAGATCCAGATATAATTCTGGAAGAGTGTGGGCCATACAGACGTGGAGTGGCATACTGGGTTGTTTAATTTTATCTTTAAGACAAAGATATCACACCTTCTTTTTACCACCCGAGGGGGGATGTAAGGGTGTTTTTTCAATTTAAGTGACATTAATCGAAATGGGATTATTTAATTTAATTCTTTCAGAGTCGCCACTTGGGATAATTTATTTGGTGTCCCAAGTCACCGATTTATTTTTAAAATCCCAAATCGAGGAAATTTGACTTTATTTAAAAGTCTGCGAAACCAGAAATTCTAGATAAGAAATTCTATTAACCCGGGAGAAAGTGTTAGGCATTCCCAGATTCCGTGGTTCGAGCACGGTCACTTAAACTATTAATAATTGTCCTATTATCTGATTTACTATATGTTTTAAATCTATTGTGCATTTTTAACTTTTTAAACCGCTTTTTACGATTTATGGAATTATTTCTTGAAAAAGTTACGATTGTCGTAAACTTACCGTTTTGGAACACACCACAAACCACACTACATGAAATGCACCCGCGATTTGTTACATGTTTATTTTATTACTGTTGAAAAATTGAAATTGGGTCACATGAAATGTACACCCGGATTTTAGTAATTAAAAATTACAACTATGCTATGGGAACCGTACCCGTTGCTATGATGAATTATTTAAATAACACGCCCAAAGCAACTACGACGATTCAATCTTCAATAGCAAATTTGTGAGAGCTATGGATTATAAATTTTGTTTGGAATGACACACCTCAATTTATTTCAAAAGGTTTTATTATTCGAAGTTGTTATAATCGGGTTACATGAAATGCACCCGAAACGAGATTTACGTATCGTGACCATGCCATGGGAACCGTACCTATGGCAGCGATAATTTATTACAAAACGCACCTAAAGAATCTAAGACAATGAGTTGATGACAGTTCTCTCAAAGACACTGTGACGACCTGACCAGTATCTCACGAGTTACTGCTCCGTTTTCTCCATTTCTACTTCTTTATACCTTGTTATCCGTGTTTTTTGGTATCGGGTTGGTCGGATCGAATCCGGAATGATTTTGGTAAGTTTTGAGACACTTAGTCTCTTTTAAAGAAGTTTAAGTTGGAAAAGTAAACGGATGTTGACTTATGTGTTAGAGGGCACAAATGTTGACTTATGTGTTAGAGGGCTCGGATGTTAGTTCCGATGGTTCGGTTAGCTTCGGGAGGTGATTTATGACTTAGGAGCATGATCGGAATGAGTTTTGGAGGTTCGGAGTAGATTTAGTCTTGAATTGGCAAAGTTGGTATTTCGGCAATTTCCGGTTGGAAGACGAGATTTTGATATAGGAGTCGGAATAGAATTTCGAGAGTTGTAGTAGTTCCATTGTGTCATTTCGGATGTGAGTGCAAAATTTCAGGTCATTCGGACGTGGTTTGGTTGGGTTTTTTATCAAAAGCGAAAGTTTGGAATATTTTAGAAAGTTTTCCTTGAATCCGATGTGTTTTGGGTGATTTGATGTTGTTTGAGGTGTTTTGATAATTGGAACAAATTTGAATAAGGTATTAGGATATGTTTGTGCTCTTAGTTGAGGTCCCGGGGGGCCTCAGGGTGATTTCGGATGGTTGACGAAAAGGTTTGAGACTTGTTAAGTTGCAGAATCTCAGCTGCTTCTGGTATTTCCGCACCTGCAGATTGCGGACCGCAGGTGAGACGCCGCACGTGTGGAAGAGGAGCCACAGAAGCGGATTTTGGAGGAATCGTCAGGAATTACAGATGCAGTAGTGTGACCGCACCTGCGAAAGTGCAGGTGTGGAGAGTTCACCGCAGATGTAGATTGGGCCTTTTAAGTGAAGAACCGCAGAAGTGGTAATTTGGCCGCATATGCGGTACCGCAGAAGAGGGTATTGTGTCGTAGATGCGAAAATGCCTGGGCAGAAAGTATAAATTGTAGCCTTCGTGAATTTTAGCTAATTTCACCATTTTATCTCGGTTTTGGAGCTTTTTGGGCGATTTGAAAGAGGGATTTCAAGGGAACTTCATTAAGGTAAGGAATTTGGACCTATAATTCGTTCCTATGCTATTATTTCATGGATTAGAGCTAGAAATCATGGAAATTAAGGGTGAAAATTGGGGAAACTAGGGCTTGGGAACTTAGGCCTTAAATTGAGGATTTGAAAGACTATTTGATGTCGGATTTCAGAACTTTTGATATGATGAACTCGTGGGGAGATAAGGAATCTATTAATGTAAAAATTATCGAATTCCGAGACGTGGGACCGGGGGTCGGGTTTTGGTAATTTCGGGATTTGTGTCATATATTGATTATTTTTGCTTGGGCTTCGTTCCCTTACCATACTTTGACGTCTTTGTTCTGATTTTGGATAGATTCAACGCGAGTGGAGGCTGATTCGAGGGGCAAAGGCATCGTGAGCTAGAGTGTTGACCGGTTTGAGGTGGGTAATGATTGTGAATGATGTTCTAAGGGTTTGAAACCTCGGATTGCACATCGTAGTGCTATACTAAGATGAGACATACGGTTGATGACGAGCGTGGGGTCGTGCACTATTGGGGTTTGTGACTTGGTCCGTCCCAATTGATGATTTTACCGCGTATTTGACTGAAATCTATTTGCTATTATCATTATTTGGGCTGACTGCCATATTTGGTCTTCGTGACAACTATTTGAACCATTTGGGAAATTTTTATTGATATTTCCTCACTGTTTTGACTTTATACTTGAACTCAGTCATGTTATTTTCCACTATTTTTCATACTCAGCCATGTTTACTCAGTTTTAATACTTAAATAATATATTTAAAATGATGTTTGGGCTGAGAAACACTATTTTTCTATTACCCGAGTGGCTTGTGAGGATTTTGACTGAGTAAGGCCGAGGGCCTATGTTGTGAGGAAACATTTGATACTGATTATGAGGTCGAGGGCCTGAGATATGTATGCCACGAGGTGGCTTGATTGATATAAGGCCGAGGGCCTAGTGATGATGCCACGAGGTGGTTTGATATTGTGCTTGGGCCGTAATGGGCCCCTCCAGGAGTCTGTACACCCCCAGTGAGTGAGGGTACCAATTGTGATGTGAGATTGAGCCGAGGGGCTGGTTTTGTTCCATGTGATTGCCCGAGGGGCTGGTACTATTCTGAGATGTTGCCCGAGGGGCGAATTTATTGATATTGTGCCCGAGAAGCGAGCCTTTATGTGTTTACTTTTTCATATTTTACTGTCAAGTACCTGCTTAATTATTGAAAAAGGTTTTTCATGAAACTACATTTGAGTTAAAGGATTTTACCTATATTTCACTGATTTACTGATTTTAAATGGTTTTACTGCTTCATTATAGAATGTTTTGTGCCTTACGTGATTTCTTGATTTCAGTCTTTATTTCATTTGTTACTCACTGAGTTGGAGTACTCACTTTACTCCCTGCACACTTGTGTGCAGATTCAAGCGTTGCGGATCTCTTTTATCAAGCGTTGAGAGCTCCCGATAGATATCGGAGTCCACGAGGTAGCTGCTTGACGTCCGCAGTCCCGTGTTTCTCCTCCTTTATCATTTCTATCTCTTTTAGACATTTGTACCAGCTTATAGACTTAACAGACTTGTATTATGACTTATAAATGCTCATGAATAGTGACACTACGGTATCTGGCTATGTTGGGTTGTCCTTTCGCATATTTATGATATTATCCACTACTTACTATTATTAAATCATGTTTTAGACTGTTTTCTTGCTGTTTAACTATTTAACATCGAATTGGGAATAGTTGGCTGGCCTTGTCTTCACGAGAGACGCCATCACGACTGGGTCTGGGTTTAGGGTCGTGACAAGTTGGTATCAAAGCCTAGATTACATAGGTCTCACGAGTCATGAGCAGGTTTAGTAGAGTCTCGCTGATCGGTACAGAGACGTCTGTATTTATCCTCGAGAGTCTGCAGAACCTTTAGGAAAAAACTTCATATTCTTGAAATTCTTGTCGTGCGAATTTGTTGATCCAAGTACTAAACTTCTATTATTCTATTCTCTCATAGATAGTGAGGACACGCACTACTGGTCAGGATGGACGACCACCAGCACCACCAGCTGTGGCCACCAGAGGCCAAGGACGCAACCGTGGTGGTGGTAGGGGCAACGCAGGTAGGGTAGCACCTGCAGATCCACCAGTTGCCCCAGTACTAGATTAGGTCCCAGTTATGGGAGCTCCAACAGCACCAGCTTAGGCACCAGTTGTGCCCATTGTGATTCTGGGTCTTTAGAAGGCCTTGGCTAAGATCTTATCAGTTTGCACTGGCCTAGCTCAGGCGGTTTCAGCCACTATAGCCGCAACTACTTATCAGGCCGAGGAGGCAATCAGACTCCCGCCGCTCGCACACCTAAGCAGGTCGTACAGGGACTTTAGACGCTGGGGGCACATCCAACCCAGCCGGTTGTAGCTGCTCAGGACTATGTAGTTCCTGCTATGCTAGAGGATGAGCAGCGTAGGTTGGAGAGGTTTGGTAGACTGCAGCCTCCGACTTCAGTGGTGCAGAGGGCGAGGATGCCTAGGGTTTCTTAGATAAGTGTTAGAGGATGCTTCGTATAGCGGGTATTTTGGAGACCAACAGGGTCACTTTCACTACTTATTAGTTTTCAAGAGCTGCCTTTACTTGGTGGGAGGCTTTTGAGAGGCGTAGGCCTGTTAGTGCAACACCCCTTACCTGGAAGTAGTTCTCTGTTCTCTTTCCGGAGAAGTATGTGCCGCAGTCCCGTAAAGAGGAGCTGCGTAGAGAGTTTGAGTGGGTGTGTTAGGGAGAGATGACTGTGATGCAGTACGAGATGAGGCTCTCCGAGTTAGCTCGTAATGCTATTTGGATGGTTCCGAGAGATAGAGAGAGGATTAGGAGGTTTGTTTATGGCTTCACTTATCAGCTTCGCATTCTCATGACCAGAGAGAGGGTGATTGGTGCTACTTTCGAGGAGGTTGTTGACATTGCCCATGAGATTAAGTCTGATAGTCGCCAGGAGCACGAGAAGAGGGAGGCCAAGAGGCCTCGAGGATCTGGTAGTTACAGTGGTACTCCTTCAAGGGGCCAGTTTCAGTACGGTAGAGGCCGTCCATTTAGGCCTTCTCATCCAGCTTGCCCAGGTTATCGTGGGACATCATCGGGTCATGGTTCTCACAGTTTTCATCAGAGCTAGTCATCACTTAGTTCCCTCCCAGCTCAGAGTTTGTCCCGTGCTCTATCAGTTCAGGGCTCTTCTATACCGAGTGTATCTGCTAGTCACTCCAATGCCAGGGGTTCCCTTCAGTCCCCTTCTACAACAGCTGGGATTTGTTATGAGTGTGGTGAGATGGGTCATATGTGGAGGCAATGCCCTCGTCGTCTTGTGAGTTCATCTTAGTAGAGGGGTTAGTCATCGGCTTTAGCGCTAGTTACTTCACCACCACCCGCCCAGCCAGCTAGAGGTGGAGGTCAGTCAGCTAGGGGTCTCCCCAGAGGGGGAGGTCGATCAGGTAGTGGTCAGCCCGTTTCTATGCACTTCCAGGCAGATCCGAGGCTATTGCTTCAGATGTTGTTATTACAGGTATTGTTTTAGTCTGCCATAGAGATGCCTCTGTGTTATTTGATCCTGGTTCCACCTTTTCTTATGTGTTATCATACTTTGCTCATTTTTTGGGTACGCCCCATGAGTTTCTTGCTTCACCTGTTCATGTATCTACCCCGATGGGTGATACTGTTGTTGTAGACCGTGTGTACCGGTTGTGTGTGGTGACTATTGGGGGTCTGGAGACCCGTGTGGATCTTTTATTATTATGTATGGTGGATTTCAATGTCATTTTGGGCATAGATTGGCTATCTCCATGTCGTGCTATTCTAGACTGTTATGATAAGACAATCACATTGGCTATATCGGGTGTGCAACAGATCGAGTGGCGAGGTGTGACTGATTATATTCCTAGTAGAGTGATCTCATTCTTGAAAGCCCAGTGTATGGTTGGGAAGGGTTGTCTTTCGTATCTACCTTTTGTGAGGGATGTCGGAGCTGAGACCCCCAGTATTGATTCTGTCCCAGGTGTGAGGGAATTTTCCGATGTGTTTCCTGCAGACCTGCCGGGCATGACACCGGATAGGGATATTGATTTTTGTATTGACCTGGTGCCGGGAACTCAGCCCATTTCTATTCTGCCATATCAAATGGCACCAGCGGAGTTGAAGGAATTAAAGGAGCAACTTTAGGAAGTCTTTGATAAAGGGTTCATTCGGCCTAGTGTGTCACCTTGGGGTGCGCTGGTTCTATTTGTGAAGAAGAAGGATGGCACAATGAGAATGTTCATTGATTATAGGCAATTGAACAAAGTAACAATTAAGAACAAGTATCCTTTGCCTCGTATTGATGATTTTTTCGACCAACTTCAGGGAGCGAGAGTGTTCTCCAAGATTGATCTCCGTTCAGGTTATCACCAGTTGAAGATCAGGGACTTGGATATTCTTAAGATAGCTTTCAGGACCCGATATGGTCATTATGAGTTCTTGGTGATGTCTTTTGGGCTGACTAATGCCCCAACAACGTTCATGCATTTGATGAACAGTGTGTTCCGGCCTTATCTTGACTCGTTTGTCATAGTCTTCATTGATGATATTCTGGTGTATTCACGTAGTCAGGAGGAGCACGCAGAGCATTTGAGAGTTGTGTTGCAGAGATTGAGAGAGGAGAAGCTTTATGCAAAATTCTCCAAGTGTGAGTTTTGGCTCAGTTCACTGGCTTTCTTGGGGCATGTGGTGTCCAGCGAGGGCATTCAGGTTGATCCAAAGAAGATAGAGGCGGTACAGAGTTGTCTTAGACCATCCCCAGTCACAGAGATTCACAACTTTCTTGGGTTGGCAGGCTATTCCGCCGGTTTGTTCAGGGATTCTCATCTATCGCATCGCCCTTGACCAGGTTGACTCAGAAGGGTGTTTCATTTTTATGGTCGGACGAGTGTGAGGAGATCTTTCAGAAGCTCAAGAGAGCTTTGACCACAACTCCAGTATTGGTTTTGCCATCAGCTTCAGGTTCATATATCGTGTATTGTGATTCTTCGATAGTTGGGATTGGTTGTGTATTGATGCAGGAGGGTAGAGTTATTGCTTATGCTTCTCATCAATTGAAGCCCCATGAGAAGAACTACCCCGTTCATGATTTGGAGTTGGCTGCCATAATTCACGCGTTAAAGATTTGGAAGCATTACTTGTATGGTGTGTCTTGTGAGGTGTTTACTGATCATCGTAGCCTCCAACACTTGTTCAAATAGAATGATCTTAATTTGAGGCAACAGAGATGGGTGGAGTTTCTTAAGTATTATGATATCACTATATTGTACCATTCGGGAAAGGCCAATGTGGTGGCCAATGCCTTGAGCTGAAAGGCAGTGACTATTGAGAGTTTAACATATATTCCAGTTGGGGAGAGACCTCTTGCGGTTGATGTTCAAGCCTTGGCCAATCGGTTCATGAGATTAGATGTTTTGGAGCCAAGTCGGGTATTGACTTGTGTGATTTCTCAGTCTTCATTATATGATCGCATTAGAGATTGCCAGTATGATGATCCGCATTTGCTTGTCATTAAGAGCAGAGTTCGACATGATGATACCAGAGATGTGACCATTGGTGATGATGGGGTGTTGAGGATACAGGGCCAAATTTGTGTGCACAATGTGGATGGGCTTCGGGAGTTGATTCTGGAGGAGGCCCATAGCTCGCGATATTCCATTCATCCGAGTACCGCGAAGATGTATCAGGATTTGAAGTAGCACTATTGGTGGAGAAGAATGAAGAAAGATATTGTGGGATTTGTAGCTCGGTGTCTCAATTATCAGTAGGTGAAATATGAGCATCAGAGATCGGGTGACTTGCTTTAGCAGATGGATATTCTCGAGTGGAAGTGGGATAGGATCACTATGGACTTTGTTGTTGGACTTCCACGGACTTTGAGGAAGTTCGATGCTATTTGGGTGATTGTGGATCGGTTGACCAAGTCCGCGCACATTATTCCTGTGTGTACTACTTATTCTTCAGAGTGGTTGGCAGAGATCTATATCCGGGAGATTGTTCATTTGCATGGTGTCCTAGTTTCCATCATTTTAGATAGGGGCACTCAGTTTACTTCACAGTTTTGGAGGTCTGTGCAGCGAGAGTTGGGTACTCAGGTTGAGTTGAGCACAACTTTTCACCCTCAGATGGACGGGTAGTTCGAGCGCACTATTTAGATATTGAAGGACATGTTGTGTGCTTGTGTCATGGATTTTGGAGGGTCATGGGATCAGTTTCTACCGCTTGCAGAGTTTGCTTATAACAACAACTACCACTCAAGTATTCAGATGGCTCCATATGAGGCTTTGTATGGGAGGCAGTGTAGATCTCCAGTTGGTTGGTTCGAGCCCGGTGAGGCTAGGCTATTAGGGACATGGTGCACGATGCCTTAGAAAAGGTAAAGGTGACTCAGGAGAGGCTTCGTACCGTACAGTCGAGGCAAAAGAGTTTGCTAACAGGAAGGTTCGAGATGTGTCTTACATGGTTGGCGAGAAGGTTTTATTGAAGGTTTCACCCATGAAGGGTGTTATGAGATTTGGGAAGAAAGGGAAATTGAGTCCGCGGTTTATTGGGTCTTTTGAGGTGCTTCGGAGGATTGGGGAGGTGGCTTATGAGCTTGCTTTGCCACCCATCTTGTCGAGTGTGCATCCGGTATTTCATGTTTCTATGCTCTAGAAGTATATTGGGGATCCATCTCATGTTTTGGATTTCAACACGGTTCAGTTGGATGATGATTTGACTTGTGATGTGGAGCCAGTAGCTATTTTGGGTCGTCAGGTTTGAAAGTTGAGGTTAAAGGATATAACTTCAGTGAAAGTGCAGTGGAGAGGTCGGCCCATGGAGGAGGCTACCTAGGAGACCGAGCGAGAGATGCAGAGCAAATATCCTCACCTGTTTGAGGCTTCAGGTATGTTTCTTGAGTCGTTCAAGGATAAATGTTTGTTTAAGTTGGGGAGGATGTGACGACCCGGCCATTCATCTCATGAGTTACCGCTCAGTTTTCCCCATTTCTGCCTCTTTATGCCTTGTTATCCGTGTTTTGTGGTATTGGGTTGGTCAGATCGAATCCGGAATGATTTTGGTAAGGTTTGAGACACTTAATCTCTTTTAAGGAAGTTTAAGTTGGAAAAGTCAATCGGATATTGACTTATGTTTTAGAGGGTTCGGATGTGAGTTCTGATGGTTCAGTTAGCTTTGGGAGGTGATTTATGACTTAGGAGCATGATTGGAATGAGTTTTAGAGGTTCGGAGTAGATTTAGGCTTTAATTGGAAAAGTTGGTATTTTGGCAATTTCCGGTTGGTAGGCGAGATTTTGATATAGGGGTCGGAATGGAAATTCGAGAGTTGCAGTAGTTCTGTTGTGCCATTTGGGATGTGTGTGCAAAATTTCAGGTCATTCGGACGTGGTTTGGTTGGTTTTTTTATCAAAGGCAAAATTTCGGAAGATTTTAGAAAGTTTGGCTTGAATCCGATGTGTTTTGGATGATTTGATGTTGTTTGAGGTGTTTTGATGATTGGAACAAGTTTGAATAAAGTATTAGGATATGTTTGTGCTATTGGTTGAGGTCCTGGGGGGCCTCAGGGTGATTTCGGATGGTTGACGGAAAGGTTTAAGACTTGTGAAGTTGCAAAATCTCAGCTGCTTCTGGTATTTCCGCACTTGTGAATTGGGGACCGCATGTGCGACACTGCAGGTGCGGAAAAGTATCCGCAAAAGCGAATTTTGGAGGAATCGTCAGTAACCGCAGATGCGGTAGTGTGACCGCACCTGCGAAGGCGCAGGTGCGGAGAGTTGACCGCAGATGTGGATTGGGCCTTTTAAGTGAAGAACCGTAGAAGCGGTAATTTGGCCGCATATGCGGTACCACAGAAGCGGTTATTGTGTCGTAGATGCGAAAACGCCTGGGCAGAAAGTATAAATTGTGGCCTTCGCGAATTTTAGCTAATTTCACCATTTTTATCTCGGCTTTGGAGCTTTTTGGGCGATTTGAAAGAGGGATTTCAAGGGAACTTCATTGAGGTAAGGAATTTGGACCTAAAACTCGTTCCTATGCTATTATTTCATGGATTAGAGCTAGAAATCATGGAAATTAAGGATGAAAATTGGGGAAACTAGGGCTTGAGAACTTAGGCCTTAAATTAAGGATTTAAAGGACCATTTGAGGTCGGATTTTAGAACTTTTGATATGTATAAACTCGTGGGGAGATAAGGAGTCTATTGATGTAAAAATTATCGAATTCCGAGACGTGGGTCCGGGGGTCGGGTTTTGGTAATTTCGGGATTTGTGTCATATATTAATTGTTTTCGCTTGGGCTTCGTTCCCTTAGCATACTTTGACGTCCTCGTTCTAATTTTGGATAGATTCGACGTGAGTGGAGGCCGATTCGAGGGGCAAAGGCGTTGCGAGCTAGAGCTTTGATCGGTTCGAGGTGAGTAATGATTGTAAATGATATTTTGAGGGTTTGAAACCCCGGATTGCACATCGTAGTACTATACTGAGGTGAGACACACGCTTGATGATGAGTGTGGGGTCTGGCTGCCATATTTCGGCTTCGTGCCAAGTATTTGAACCCTTAGGGGGATTTTTATTGATATTTCCTCACTATTGTAACTTTATACTTGAACTTAGTCATGTTATTTTTCACTATTTTTCATACTCAACCATGTTTACTCAATTTTAATACTTAAATAATATTTTAAATGATGTTTGGGCTAAGAAACACTATTTTTCTGTTGCCCGAGTAGCTTGTGAGGATTTTGACTGGGTAAGGCCGATGGCCTATGTTGTGTGGAAACATTTGATACTGATTATATGGTCGAGGGCTTGAGATATGTACACCACGAGGTGGATTGATTGATATGAGGCCGAGGGCCTAGTGATGATCCACGAGGTGGCTTGATATTGCGCTTGGGCCGTAATGGGCCCCTCTAGGAGTCTGTACACCCCCAGTGAGCGCGGGTACCCATTATGATGTGAGATTGAGCCCGAGGGGATGGTATTGTTCCATGTGATTGCCCGGGGGGCTGGTACTGTTTGGAGATGTTGCCCGAGGGGCGGATTTGTTGATAGTGTGCCCGAGGGACGAGCCTTTATGTGTTTACTCTTCATATTTGACTGTCAATTACCTGCTTAATTATTGAAAAAGGCTTTTCATGAAACTACAATTGAGTTAAAGGATTTTACCTATCTTTCACTAATTTACTAATTTTAAATGGTTTCACTGCTTCATTATAGAATGCTTTGTGCCTTACATGATTTCTTGCTTTTAGTCTTATTTACATTTGTTACTCACTGAGTTGGAGTACACAGTTTACTCCCTCCACCCCTGTGTGCAGATTCAGGCGTTGCGGATCCTGCTAGTGCGAGTTGAGAGATCCCGGCAGATATCTGAGTCCACGAGGTAGCTGCTTGAAGTCCGCAGTCCCATGTTTCTCCTTCTTTATCATTTCTATCTCTTTTGAGACATTTGTACCAGCTTATAGACTTAGCAGACTTGTATTATGACTTATAGATGCTCATGACTAGTGACACTCCGGTATTGGGCTGTGTTGGGTTGTCTTTCCGCATATTTATGATATTATCTGCTACTTATTATTATTATTAAATCATGTTCTAGACTATTTTCTTGATGTTTAACTGTTTAACATAATATGGGAATAGTTGGCTGACCTTGTCTTCATGAGAGGCATCATCACAATCGGGTCCGAGTTTAGGGTCGTGACAGACACCGAGCCGATCACAATCCAGAGGTACAGATTTTTCAATACAACTCAAACCCTCAACCAAAGATAGATGTAAACAATATCAGATAATATAAATATCTTCAGTTGGATACACAAATAATTAAATAGTGTAAAACAGTAATTTCATTAAGATTCTATATTAGTATGTTAGAAGTTGTATGGTGCACCAATAGAAAGTTTATTACTCTAAGAAAAGTCTTATCATTTTTCACGACAAAGATGTCCCAGAAACTTAAATTTTCCTTCTCAATATTTACAATTTACATAATGATTGGTGACATTTTCAATCTTCGTTCTACATAGAACGAAACAAAACCATTTTTTGAGTTGCATCTAAATCACTTTATGAAGTACATACCAATTAATATAAAGTGAAAATTCTTACCTTAGAGAGCCAACGGAGTTTGCCAAATTGATGTTGAGCCATTGTTAATGCTAGAATCATCAAGTCATTGTTCTTGAATGTAGACGCGTATATTTAAGAATTTTTAATCGTTACCAAATTACTGTTCATTTCTCTTTCTTTTTAGCAACAAACAAGGTCAGAGAAAGAAAAAGTGAGGGTTATCAATCTAATGCAGAGAATAAGGGCGCCCTGGAGCAAGTGGACTAATTGAAAGGGAAACGCTGAAATAAGCTCAAATATGGTAGAAATCTGCAAATGCAACTCCAACAACAATTTCCACACCAATAATTACACAATTGAGATAATAGAGATGAACCAAATAGAGGCCAATACAAATTCGGATGAAGCTAAAAAACGATTCCAACAGCTACAACGACAAGTTTCGAATTCACAAGCCCAGAAACGAACAAACCGTGTAGCATAAATTTGAACTTTTTATTTTTATTTTTTCTCTCTTCTTTTGAATTTTTCTAGATCTGAAATTTGACTTGCCAACTTCCTCTCTCAACAAGTTCAAGGTCACACACAGAGTGTTTTTCTATGGTTTTTCAAGAAAAAGAAGGAGGTGACATGGCCCTGGGTTTCCGGGATCTAGGATCTGATTGTTCTTTTGAAGGTGAGAGATGAGGAAGAAGGTCCAGAGGGGCACCGTTTGCTCTCTCTCCTTTCTGAAGGGGAGTGTTCTATTATGTCTAAAATTTGATGGATATCTATTTTAGGTTTCCTCATGCATTCTTATATGTAGGAGGTAGGGTAAAGGGTAATGGGTATTTGGGTAGTGGTATTAGAATTGAGTTGGGGTTTAAAATTAATTTAGGCTTTTAGGAATTGGCCCAATTTCAAAAGAAACAAGACCAAAAATATGTTCTTCCTATTTTTCTTTTTTTTTTCTTTTTTTTTTTTAAAAATCAATTAAAATCCTAAATCAATCTATTAAAATTCTTTATTTATTTTTAACATTAAAACAATTAATTAACTTAAAACTAACAGCTTGTTTGGATGGTTGTTACGTATTGTTTCATAATGTATCGTATTGTATTGTATTGTACTGTATCGTTTGATGAATACAATGTTTGGATGGATTGTGTCATTTTATCGTCGTTTCATGGTATCACGCATCAGTAATATGATGAATAAACTTGCAATATTATAAAGAAAAATTATGATACAGTATATAAAAAGGTAAGGTAAATGATAAAATAAAATTATTTAATACTAATGAAGGGTGAGATTGAGAGAAAAACCCAAGGAAACAACGCAACCACACCAAATCGGTCGTTACATAAAGTGGCACATTTCATCATTACGTAATGACGAATTTAACGATACGATACAATAAAATTTAAGTAACAATCAAAACAAACATTGTATTTAAAGTAACAATACGATACGATACAATAAGTAACAACCATCCAAACAAGCTGTAAGGAAAAATGCTAATTTTAAAGGCTAAAATCCAAATATGTAAAAATGATCATTTTTTTGTGATTTCTTGCTTAATAAAATTATTCCTACAGGCAAACTGAGCCTAAGATGACATGAAATTAAAACGTGATAATTTTTTATAATTTTTCTATGATTTTAAAATATTAAAAAATCATGAAATGCATCTAAATAAAGAAAAACTCCTAAAAATCAATTAAAATTATTTTTGGTCTATTTTTAGGAGTTATTTTCATGTAGGGCAATAATTGGGTGCTCACAGAAGATGCCCGAAGAATGGAGGTGGAGTACGATGATTCCTTTGTACAAGAACAAGGGTGATATCCAAAACTGCAATAACTATAGGGTTATCAAGCTGCTGAATCCTACTATGAAAATTTGGGAGAGGGTGGTGGAAGTCAGGGTGAGAAAGAGTTTTTCTATTTCCGAGAATCAGTTTGGATTTATGCCGGGTCGATCGACTACGGAAGCCATTCATCTGGTGAGGAGATTGGTAGAGTAGTATAGGGAGGGAAAGAAGGACCTACACATGGTGTTTATAGACCTAGAAAAGGCGTACGATAAAGTTCTAAGGGAGGTTATGTGGAGATGTTTGGAGGCTAGCGGCATTCCGGTAGCTTACACTAGGGTATTCAAGGACATGTATGATGGTACTGAGACTCAGGTGAGGACAATGGGAGGTGACTCAGATCACTTCCCAGTAGGGATGGGGTTGTACCATGGATTGTCTCTTAACCCGTTCTTATTTGCTCTGGCGATGGATATGCTGATGCGACACATTCAAGGGGAGATGCCTGGTGCATATTATTTGCCAATGACATAGTGCTAATTTACGAGACGAGGAGCGGGTCAATGCGAGGCTAGAGGTCTGGAGGCAGACTCTAGAGTCTAAAGGTTTCAAGTTGAGAAGGACCAAAATGGAATAGTTGGAGTTTAAGTTCAGTGACGAGACCCATGAAGCGGGCGTGAATGTGAAGCCTGATACCCAAGTCATCTCGAGTAGGGGGTACTATAATCCAGGGTAACATGATATTGATGATAAGGTCTCCTACCGTATCGGTGCGGGGTGGATGAAATGGAGGCTCGCATCTGGTGTTTTGTGTGATAAGAAGGTGCCACCAAGACTTAAGAGTAAGTTCTACAGAGTGGTGGTTAGACCTACTATGTTATATGGGGCTGAGTGTTGGCAAGTCAAGAACTCCCATGTTTAGAGGATGAAAGTAGCAGAAATGAGGATGCGGAGATGGATGTGTGGGCATACAAGGAGAGATAATATTAGGAACGAAGTTATTCGGGACAAAGTGGGAGTAGCCCCCGTGGAGGACAAGATGCGGGAGTTGAGGCGAAGATGGTTCGGGCACGTGCAGAGGAGGTGTACTGATGCTATTGTTAGGAGGTGTGACAGGCTGTCCATGGCGAGACTTAGAAGGGGTAGAGGAAGGCCGAGGAAGTATTGGGGAGAGGTGATTAGGCAAGATATGGCACTATGTTATCTCACTGAGGACATGATCCAGGATATAAGGGCGTGAAGGTCGAAGATTAGGGTAGTTGGCTAGTAGGTAGTCGAGAGTTTCCCGTTCTTTATTAGCAGTATTAGTAGCTCCCTTATTTTTTCATTCGCTCTGTGTATCGCATGTTCAAGTTTGTTACTGTTTGATGCTATTTTCTGTTACTGGTTTTGTTGTTGTTGTTGTTGTTGTTACTATAGTTGTCTTTCTCCCCTTTTCCTTATTGTACTTTGTACCCCTATTCTTTCTTTCTTCTTCATCTTCTTCCTTTCTCTCTTTTCATCTTTTCTTGAGCTGAGGGTCTATTGGAAACAACCTCTCTACCTTGCCAGGTTGGGGTAAGGTGTGCATACACACTACCCTCCCAGATCCCACTTGTAGGATTATACTGGGTAAGTTATTGTTGTAACTAGTACTATATTTGATAGTTATAATTTTTACTATATTTTATTAAAATAATTAAGTTTATTTAAATTTATTTCAAAAGAGAAAATACTAAAAGGCTACGATTGCAATTCCTTAGTTAATAACAAAGTGGCTATTAGGTAAACTATTTTAGCCCAGATATAGAGCCCAATCCGGACCTTGCCCAGTCCAATAACTCCTCATTTTGCACCTTGGTGATCCACGACAATCCCTTTGAACCAATCAGAGCATGCCAAGTCACCCGCCTCAGACACTCACAAAGAAAGCACAATGAATATAGACCAATGATTTGTCAGATCAACGACCCGCATTTTATCCTTATTTTTCTTTAATTACTCCACTAGATTTTATCTCTACCCTCCAAACCTAAAGATCCGATGACCCTTATAATCCCTCATTTTAATCCTAAAATATTAGGATCGTTGATCTTTTAGATCAACGGCCCAGATCCTTCCTTGCCTCTTTAATCCAAAGACTAAATGGTCTAACACCTAAACCCTAATTCATTTGTATTTTGAAATCCAGAGCCAGATTCCACTTGGATACGTAGACTTTTTGAGTCAGACTCAACCATTTTCATCCTTAATCTCATCAGTTTGCATCTGTTGTAATTGAACTACGCGTCGACCTAATTCCATTTGGATATGTAGGTTGCTTGAGTCAAGCTCGGTTTAATCATCTTTTATCATCATCGCACGAACTACGTTTAGTCCTGATTCCGTTTCGGATATGTAGTCAAGCTAAAAAGGTTTGGTCATAACCCTAGGAAAGCCTCTGTAATGCATTACTTCAAATTAGGATGTAGTCGCAATAACAAGTAGCCATGTAGTCAGAGGTGTCACACAAGATCAACATCAACAAGATGGAGTTTAGAAGAGGATACACTTACTTGTGGAGAATGTTTCATGACATGTCATAATCCGAAATGATGGCATTTGCCTTAAAAATAAAGTATTTTTAAAACATTTTCTAAATATAATGTGTGTGTGTGTGTAGTATTTTGTTCCATCTACCGAACTTCATGGCGCAATCATGTTAAAGCCCGGGGCAAGCCAGGGAATAAAAGAAGCACTAGGACCACACTGGGGCAAATGACTGATCCGCTACTAGCCTAAGATTATCTCTCCTCCTTTTTCTTAAAATTTTCTAGTACGTCTAAAGCTAACTCTTGAATCCTCTATACGTACCTCAGAATCAGACAGCTGATACGGATATTTGTACGTAGAAAATCATCCGCTCACCTAATTGGAGCATCCTGAACAAATCTGCTACACTCCATATCTTCGTACGAAAGAGTATTCGTAAGTCAATTGATGTAATCTCATAAATGAGATCATCTTTGAGTGTACTTAAACTAAGTTAATCATGTTACCTTGGTGATTACAAATCTTTATGATCATATATAAGAAGTACCAATAGGGTTAAAAAGCTAAAAAGCTAAACAAATTGAAGAAAATAAGTTTCGTCGAATGTCGACAAGTTGGTAATGCTATTACGTGTACTTTTGTGATGATACTGGGGTGCATAACAAGATAAGGAGCTTATGTTATGAGTTATTTTAGTTGTATGATAGTCGTGTGTTATTTTTTTAAGTCTAGCAAGTTGTGGAACAAAAGTTGTCAAAGGTCATCACAAGTTACATTCATAAATATGCTGAACATTTGGTCAAATGTAGATGCGCTTTTCTCCCAATTTACTTCGAATTATGGGGTGATATACCTACCAAATTTAAGATCTATGAGTCTAGTTTCTAACTCATTAAACTGTTTGTTGATACAATGTCGTATTAGATAGATATTTATGTTTTTGCGCGACTACACCAGGCAGCTCTCTATGGGAGCCACAATGGCGGTTGATATATATATATATATATATAAGATGCCTCAACCCCATTTTAACATATTCTGTTTCAGTATATTCAGAACCTAGGAACCTAAAAATAATCTCTCAAGGTTCTCTCATGATCCAAGAACCAAACAAAGGGCAAACAACACAAATCAAGTGTCGGAAATAACGTCGCACTAGTAAGTTTCTTGTTCTTCTTGTTGTTGCTGATTTTTGGGTGGTTCCAACTCATGTGGGCAGTTGTTTTAAGTGTTATAAGTTCTGTAAAATACTCTCCCAAGGTTTTAATATCAACCCTAGGTAATTTCAAGTCTTTCAAATGGATTAGACAATATTTCAACATCAAAAGTTAGTTCTAGTGAAGAATAACACCTCTTTGAAGTTGTGTTGTCATTGAGAATAGTTGTGGGCTGTGTTTGGCTGAAATTTCAATTTGTTTCGAATGGATAAGGTGAGTATAATAGACAACTAATTGTGCTTAAGATTTCTTGTATATTGGTTAAGTTGTTAGGATAATAAACGACAAGATAATACTTTGATTAGTTTAAGTCACTTCTATGGTGTTGTATTGCCATTGAAGGCTGTTGTAAGCTAAATATAACTTTTATTTCCACTTGAAGGTACTATAGGATGTATTTTTATTGTGTTCTTGCATGTCTTAAGGTTATCTTGATGTTGATTAAGTTAAATGGATATACTAGATATGAATTAGTGAATAAAGTTGCTAATTGAAGATAGTGGAAGTTGTGGATTGTTTCCTTTATTATAAATATATGGTATAAGGATGGAATCATCAATGAATGACTTCATTATCATGTTAATTATGTTTTAAAGTTAATGTAGAAGTCTACAAGATGTGATAATGGGGTTGAAGGGTGCTGAAGGGATTCAATCCGAGTTTGCCGCTCGTCGTGATATGTTGATGACTTGTTAATGAAATAGTTTGTACCCTATTATCGATGTTGTCTTATTGTATTTCTATGTTTGTTGTTTTTGGTATATGGTATTGGAGGAGGCCCTTTTTACAAGGGAGATACTACCTAAATTTACATAAAACGAGCTACTAGCTTAAGTTACAAACTTAGCCTTTACTCAACACTAATTTTGAATCTCCTTATGCTATAGTAGACTGAGTTGAATTGTTTGAAGAGTTGCTTGTAAGCTATTTAGGACTCAACGAGGTTAAGGTATGTTAAGTCTAAACCTTTCCTTCATTTTGGCATGGTACCATAACTATATGTGTTTGATAATGAGACATAAAGAGAAGTTCGTATTCCTAAACTTATGTACATTATCCTAGTCTCATAAGCTATAGCATTCTCCCGTATCAGAACTTCATATTCAATTTAGTTTTGTTTTCTTTCAACCACGAGAGCAGGGAGTCTATATATATATACACTACTAAAGTATTTTCACCACCATCGAGTTATAATCGACGACCCCTATTGGGTAATCTCTGATCAGATGGTAAGTTATATACCAAGCCTATTATGGCTGAGTGCTTATGAGCGAGCCCAAAATGGCCGATATATAGAGCCTAGTATGGCCGAGCGCCTATGAGTGAGCCTACTATGGTAGAGCAGTTACATATACTGAGCCTTATAAGGCCGGACATCTATTTCACTTACTATATTGAGAGAGTTGAGTCCGTATCAGCTGGTAAGCATATTTTTAGATTATCTTTGACTCCTAGTGACTTTCAGTTATTCTGTTGCCTTTCATACTCGA